CCATTGATGTGCTTGGTGCCAGTGCAGCCACTGCAGATCCACAGCCCAGACCCTGAGGAGTGTGCTAACTTTGTATCATTTCATTCAAAGCTATTTTTATAGTCCTTTGCCTCCTTCTGTGAGTGTTGGTTTTTTCCTTGGGTCATCTTGATCTAATTATTTTCCAGGAAATGAGAGCCAATAAAAGAAAGCCTTTTTGCTATGAATACATGTGTATTTTAAAATGTAGATATTAAATATGGTCTCTAAGCAGAAATAAAACCCAGTCTGGCTTATGCAACTAATACCACAATCGGAGTGGCAGTTTCGAGCTTTAAAGGTATTGGTGATGCTTAAATTATGCTTACCACAGGTACAGCTACTCTAGTGTAAAAGGTAGTTAATAACCAGGGTGTAAAGAGAAGGAAACCCTACTAAGTTAAGCCCATATATTCTGGTAACTATTCTCATCTGGGAAATTACGTTAGTAAAACCTGTCAGTGTGGATTGCAGTCTTGAATTCAACAGTTCTCCGGTACAAAACCCGTAGTGATGGAGTTTCAATAACACTACCCTTCCCACTAACTTCACATGGGGGCAGCAAGGCATTGCTTTATCAGCGGGAAATACAGTTTTGCCTGAGAAGCGACTTTACCAGGATTAAATGTAAAAGATGCAGGGATTGACAACCCATGGCTCCAAGGTGATTTATTTATAAGTTAAAAAAACACACAAACAACCACATGGGGTTTCAGATTGGAATGGTTTCCTTTATTTTATGTTACCAGGAAGAGGGATCTCTGCTGTTGAAGAAGTGTCCAAACTGCAATAAAATCCAGCTCTTGTGGTAAGTCTGGCCTGGCTTTTACATGCCAAATCATCTAAACAATAGTACCATGATGATGAATTCTAGATTTTCTCTGGGAGAGGGAAGGGAGAAGACTTCAGGTTACGAGTTTTAATTTACAATCCTGATTTGCAATGTTGTGGACACAACTGTAGGGCCAAAGTAATTTCTGAGTCCAGATTTTCAAGACTTTTGATAAGGCTGCAAGTGTTTGATGTTAATGATGTAATGACAGGTACATGAACTAAATATATCGAGAAAGGTACACAAATGCCTGTTTGGCATTCAGGGCTGGGCAATGAAAAGCAGGTAATCTCACTTATACCCAAGTGACAAGGTTATCAATAATGAAACAGAAAATTCCAAAGGGGAAGAGAAGAAAGCATCCATCCACCACTGAAAGTTTATCTCCAATGGGTCAAAAGGAAAAGAGAATAAGAGTTGCTGCTGGTTTTATGTCTCTCTGACCATCAAGGGAATGTGGCAAGCTGCAACAGCATGGGTTGGAAATTCGATAGGGAAAGCAAAACATCCCTTAACAGCGAGAGCCACTTACACACCCATAGAAGCTCACAGCAGCTTGAAGAGTTGCATTGCAGGGTTTTCCTTTTCCTAGCTCTAAGGAGGTTCCAACCAAAACAGAGAGAGATATAGAATAAGGTGAGAGGTCTGGGTTCCTGCATTATCTTGGAGGATGGACACCCAAGGGGGAGGGAGAGGGACTGTTTTTTCTTACTTATTGTTACAAATTCCTCTTATTTGTCCTTTCTTTTCTTTCCTTCCTGTCTGATGAGTGCTGGCACAGCCAGCCCCGGCAAATGTTTGCAGTACCTTGCTGTGAACAGTTCAGCAGCTCAGACTCAAAGTGAGGTGTCCTTGTTTTTCCCCTTCTTGAACTGTGAGCTGTTCAGGATGAAAGACGTGGTTTTGTATTATCTCTCTTTTCATGCCTTTTCTGGTATTGTTGTCTTTTTTTGAAGTAGAAGGGGTTTGTATTTGCAAAGAGCTTTAGTAAATGAGGCCTGCCAACCTTAGGAAAGCAAAGCACCGTGCTCTGAAGGCACATAGAATTCCCATTTGTAGAGGGACTGCAGTAGGAAAACAGCAAAAATGCCTTTGTTATAATAAGGAGGATGTCTGTCAATGCAATGACTAAATAAATTTACAAGGTAAGAACATACTGGTCTTACGCAGTCACTTGAGCATATGGCGGCGATTATCCCACAGCAGCTCTACCTGCAAGGATCAGCGGCACAGGGAGCTGTGCCACAGCTCCGTGCCCAGGCATACAGATGTGCAGGTACTGCTCTCACACAGCCAGTACAACAGCTGAACGCTGGGTCCGATAGCAGCTGTAAAGTGCTGTAAATGGCCTTATCCCCAACACTGCTGCACTGACAGTTTGCAGCTCAGAGTGTTAAAAATTATATGGGAAATGTGCTTTAGCAGTTTCAGACAATTAAAAAAAGTTCTTTTACCTCTTATTTTCCCTTCTCTAAGGGAGATGATTTTCCAGGAATAGCAGAATAGCAGGTGAGTTCTTTCACTTTCCTGAGCGCCTGCTTTTGGCTGGAGAGGGCAAAGAACATGTCTACTCACCCAAAGGCCTCAGAAAACTGCACATGGTAGTAGGACTAAAAATTCAGAGATTTGTAAAAAAAAAAAAATTAAAGTTGAAGCAGATGATAGAGATTTATGGACTATGTGATCATTACTGAATTTCTCTAGGATTTAAAAACCCTTCCCACTCTTACATCTGTATGATGTTTCAGTTATATCTGAAAGCTGCACAACACTCGGTTTGAAGGGATAGGTAGGTTTTGTGTCCTACAGGATCTGGGACCTTAGTGGTGAGTTTATTTTATATTGAAATAGATTGAGCTAATTTATGCTAGATACCAGAAAGTGAGTGAAAAAGTTGCAGAGTAGAAAAGACTGTTGCTATACTTACGTATTTTCACATATTTTGGTTCTGGATTTTTTGTGTGCTTTTAAATTTAAATCATAGGGGTATTACCTGATCAGCTTGTAAAGACAGTGAGGGAAAAAAAACTCCACTAGTTAGTCTTTGCAAAATGCTTTAGATCCTATTTAGCAAAAGTGCCAAATGTTTTAAATTTCACAAAAGCATAATGAGGTATGCTATTATCTCTGCTGCTACCCATACAAGTTGAAACAAATACCAAGCTTGAATATAGAAGGTACCTGTTACAGATAATCTCTGCAGGAGATCTGGTGCTGGTATTTTGTTGTGATTGAGGCTCCTAACTTGGACTACAGATAGGTTAGATTAGATAATTTGCTTTTTACCTATCTTCTCATAGTCTGTTATTGCTATTGAAAGGGATCCACCTTACTGAGTATCAGTGAACCATCAGCTCGAAGGATGGAGCTGGGAAAGTATTTTGCTCGCCACGTATAAAAGAATCGAGAAGCTGCTTTTCTTATTATGAAAATGTGACTCCAACCCAGATTTAAAGAAAATGATCTCGCAGGAAGATCTCTGTGAATGTAGGCATTTAACAGCTGCTGTGCTGTCACTTGTGGCTGCCAGACATCCAAAGACAGGTCACTGGCGGGAGCTCATGGTTCTGATTCCTTCCCCAGACAATCTCCTTTCCTCACTGTGACTCATCGCTGACCCACAGCACGGAGGGTGTCTTGGGCAATGGGTGCTGTGGGTTGTGTGGGTGAGGTGTACGAAATCCATCATCGGTCACAGCTGTCTGTGGTGGACTCCTCATGCCAGAGCCGACAGGTTTTGAGATGGAGCGTCTCAAACTCCATCATTCAAATTGCTGCAAGTTTCTTCTCGTTCACCCAGCTGGGTCGATTGGATGGCGTAGAACCTGCAATCCCACTTTTTATCTTGATAACTACAGACCTTTCCAAAGGTTAGCTGCTCTGAGTTACTAATCATCTCTGAGGTAAGTAAGGTGTGAGGTGTGTGGGAACCAGCCAGCGGCTGAGCTGCGAAAGGGCTGTGGCTGGGAAGGTACTGCGAGCAGCAGGGAAACTCAAGGGGCAAAATGCAACTACCTGGGCCCTAATTTGAGCAGAATCTGCTCCACAAGACCAGCAGCTCCATGAAAGCCTGCAGCTCCAGAGAGTGTCTGAAAAGAGAACAAAACAGGTGGATGAAAAGGGAGGAAGAAGGACCGATATGTTATCAGGGAAGGACAATAATTTCATTGAAGAAGAAAAGCTTGAAAGAATGAGAGAAATAAACAATACTTTGCAGTCATATTCCTTGCAGTGACATTCCTTGCAGTGACCAGCAGGATTTAAAACCGGTGCCCCTTATCAGAGCTGCCCTGTTTATTAAAATAAGTATTTTTTTTACTTGACATAACACAGTTTAAGTGAAAGCTACGGTCGGTGCCAGGAGGACCCGTCTCAGAGAGAAGGAGAAAATACAAATTTTGTTGACACCTCGGCCGTGTTTGAAGGTACATCCTTGGTTTGCCGCTGACTTTTAAGAAGTCGTGAGGCAAAAATACGGGCGGCCGCCTTTTTGGGGCGGGGGGGGGTTCCTTCGGTCATAGCACCCGGAGGGGCGATGGGGAGGACGCCTGTCTGGGACACCCACCAGGGGTCTTGGGGGAGCGGCAGTGCGACCCCTGGGCTGGCCTCTGGTGCCGCTCCGCTCCCCTTTTCCCCGTCCCCCTCGACCCCTTCCCCTTCTCCCTCATTCCCTCTCCCCCTCCCCGTCGGGCAGGGGCGGGGCGGGCGCATGCGCGCTGGGCAGCCCCCGCCGCCTATAAGAGCGGGTGCGGCGCCCCCCGCGCGCAGTGGCGGACCGGGTGCGGCGCCGGACGGGGCGCACCGGGAGGCGGCTCCGGCGGCTCCGGCGGCTCCTCAGCGCCCGCCCCGCTCCGCTCCGTCGGCCTTCGCCCATGGGCGCGGAGGAGGGCGCGGGCCGGGCCGGCGCGGCGCGGCGGCGGCGATCGAGAGCCGAGTAGCGGCGCCCCCCGCCCCGCCGGTGCCGCTCGGGCGGTGCGTCCCGGCAAGCCGCTCCGCACCCCGCGGGCCGGCCCCGGGCATGTGGCGGCGCCGGCGGCGGGACCCGCGGCCACACTGCCCGCAGCGCGGCTGCTGCCTGCCCCGAGGGGCCGGGCGGCGCTGCCCCGGCGCGGGGGGGCTCTGACGTCGCGGCCGCCCCCCCGGCGGCGCCATGCGGGGCTGGCTGCTGCTGGCGGCGCTGGGCTGGCTGCTGCCGGCGGGGGCCGCGGCCAGCGGCGAGTACTGCCACGGCTGGCTGGACGGGCAGGGCGGCTGGCGGGACGGCTTCCAGTGCCCCGAGCGCTTCGACGGCGGCGACGCCACCATCTGCTGCGGCAGCTGCGCCCTCCGGTACTGCTGCTCCAGCGCCGAGGCGCGGCTCGACCAGGGCGCCTGCGACAACGACCGGCGGCAGGGCGGCGGCGAGCCGGGCCGGCCCGGCAAGGACGGCTCCGACGGCGCGGCAGGTGAGGCGGCCCCGCCGAGGGTGGCACCGCGGGTCTCTCCGGCTCGGCGGCTCCGCGCGGGTTTGCGTTGAACTTCTTACCCGCCCCTTCCCCCACCCCGTTGTCGGCGGTTCCCTCCTCCGTCGAGTCGTGGGTCAGGACGGACGGAGGTGGGGCTGGCCGGGCCCGGCGGCGGCTGTAACGGGGAGAAGTGCCCGAGCTGAAGGCTTGCCTTTCTCCGCCCTTATTATTGGAAATCCCAGCCACGTCTCCGTTAGAGCAGGTGACACCGCTCCCCGCAGTACCGGCCTGGCGCAGCTCTGCCGCCACTTCGAACGGGCCCCTCAGCCCCGGTCGTGCTCCCCATTCAAAAGAGAAGGAAAAAGTGAGAAAACCCGTATGAGCAAAAGAGAAAAAGTAACAGGATATTTCAAAAGGACTCTGGCTGGTCCCCACTGTAATTGTGTATGTTCTTCCAGCTCAGGTATCCCCACTTAGGATTGGCTTTACAAGATTGAATTTCAAGGATAAACTCAAGTCTTTCTACTACTGTTTAAAAAAGCCCCGGTGGCTCCCCAGCACACTTGCTGCCATTCATGCACACTGAGCTCACGAGAAGTAGCCTGCAGTGATGTTATAATTAGGACAGATTTACTCTTGGAAAACTTGCGTGTTACTGTCTGTAGCAAGTGCTTGCACCTGCTTAAGAGCCGCTGCAGCATCAAGCACAGAAGTGGAGATGATGTTTTGCAGCCTTTTGTTTAAAAGTGCTAAAATGATGGAAGAATTGTGTCCTTTTGGTTATAACTTGCTCCATATAATCAGCTGTGCAAGGAGGTGTTCTGACCTGAGCAGATAGATAAACCTTCTTTGCAGTTCTGAGAACAAAACATTTTTTTTAATTGGTATTTACTGCTCAGCAGGTTTGGGAGCCGTCACCCTGCACAGGCACTATTAACTTGCATGTCATTAGCAGTGGCTGCCTCAGTAGGGTCAGACAGGGTCAAGCAGGGGTCCACAGCTCTGCCAGAGTCTTAGGGCTGCTGTGTTTTGGAGGAAATGATGAAGTCTAGGCACGTTGTTGGGAGCATTCACAAGCACTGAAGAGATGCACCTCTCCTTCATTATTTCTGGATATATCCATGCACATTTCTTATTGAGGCAGAGAAAACAGCTCTTTTTCTTGGGAGTGGTGGATAAGTACCTGGAGCCCAGGTCCTTCCAGGGATGGTGTTTGCCATGCTTAGTGGCTCCTGACCCCACCTATAAAGCATCGCTCATACTTTCTGCTCCCACCCCTTGCCCACCCTCACTCGTCCTGCCCTGATGTCCCCTCATTAAGCCTCACAAGGAATGATGCTGTTCCTCTGCTGGATGTGAAGCTTTGGAGCATGGTGCAGTCTCCTCATTGCCTGCTCTGTAGTTTCTCCCTAAAGCCAGGTCTGAAGTGCAGAGCAAGTGGACACTCATCCCCAGGTCTGTGGGGTGTCAGAGGCCCTGTGACTGCTGTATGGTCACTGTGTGGCTGCCTCCCTTCCCCGGCGTGGGGGTGGGCTGACAACAAGCCAGAGTGGGCTGGTGATGGGGAGGGATGTGATGCAGCACTGGTGTTTGACTGCCCTATGCTCCTGAGCCCTCAGCAGGGATCCTGCCCCCAAAGTATCTATCTCCCTAAGGCACTGTCCAAACCTAGCGATATCTTGCCTGATTCTTCTAGTAGGGCATACTGGAGATGCAATCTGATGAAAGGTAGAGCAGTGGTTAATGTGGACTACACCACCATCATCAGAAGTGAGCTCTCCTCCCTCAAGGTGTTGAGCTGTGGGCTTTCATTCCTGCTAATAACTTTAAAAAGATGCTTTTGGAAACTTAAGCTGTTGGTTTAGGCAGCCCTTTTTGTCATTCCAGTGTAAAATGGTTGGCTGCACACACACAGCTGTCAGTGCTTGCCCTGCACTGACCTGTGCTGGGAGGAGTGGGCTCCACTTGGATAAGGGGGGACTCCTGCTGGAGCTGCTGAGGTTTGTCCTTGGCCCCAGTGACAATGTTTTCCTTGCTATTGCAGTGCCCATCTACGTGCCATTCCTTATCGTTGGATCTGTATTTGTCGCCTTCATCATCCTGGGATCACTGGTGGCAGCTTGCTGCTGCAGATGCCTGCGGCCCAAGCAGGAGCCCCAGCAGAGTCGAGCCCCTGGGGGCACCCGCCTGATGGAGACGATCCCCATGATCCCAAGTGCCAGCACCTCCCGGGGCTCCTCCTCTCGCCAGTCGAGCACGGCTGCCAGCTCCAGCTCCAGCGCCAACTCGGGGGCCAGAGCCCCACCGACCAGGTCCCAGACCAACTGCTGTTTGCCCGAAGGGACCATGAATAATGTCTATGTCAACATGCCGACGAACTTCTCAGTGCTGAACTGCCAGCAGGCCACCCAGATCGTGCCGCACCAGGGGCAGTACCTGCACCCCCAGTACGTGGGCTACGCCGTGCAGCATGACTCGATGCCGCTGACCCCGGTGCCCCCCTTCCTGGATGGTTTGCAGAGCGGCTACAGGCAGATCCAGTCACCCTACCCACACACCAACAGTGAACAGAAGATGTACCCAGCTGTGACTGTGTAGCGCTGATGCCTTCCTCCCCCTCCCCGCCCAGCAGATTTTAATATCCAAACTGAACGGAGGAGAAATACTTCCTTGGAATGAAGCTCCCAGAACGTCACTTGTAAATAATTTTGAAAGGCTCATGCATGTCAGACAGTGTTTATAAACCATTTATTTTCAACGGGGTCTGTTGCCAGAAACTGTAAGGATGATATCTCGGAATTAGCGTTGCCAGATACGCTCTCATTCCAGTGCGTGATTTACGGCAGCGGCGGATTACGCTGAAAATGCATATGTATTTCACATTACTGTACTTGAGAGATAAATGTCGGAGCCGTTAAGTGCCCTTCAGGTATGATATGGTCAGAAGTATTTGCCTAATTAATTCGTAGAAAGAGTTTTGTTACGCTGTACAAGACCGCAGTACTTAAGAAACCTCTCTTCTCCTCTCCCAGCTCCTTAATGACATTTCCTGATGCTTTACAGACAATCACAACCAAGAGCCAAACAGTGCAATCAATCTCTGTGCACAGGGTGCTGGTACCAGCCTCCACAACTTCTTATACACACCTGGTTTGGGATGAAATGCCACAAGAGGCTTGGTCTTGCGAAGACCAATTTCCCTTGTCCCTGGTATTTATGTAGGAATTAGTAGAGTGAATTATTTGGCTCTTCTTCCAGTGCACTTGAAACCCTTCTTGATTTGGTTTTATCTCAAGATCAGGACCCAGTAGTGTGGTTTGCACAGACCATCTTTGTGAACGTTTTACTAAAAACAGGGTACGAGGTGCTTGCTCTTTGTGATACTCAGCAAAGCTTTGGTACAGCTGGCAGTGTCTGAGCTGAAACTGCCTTTGCAGAGAAAGGTCGTACTGTGATTCCAAACACGCCTGGTTTAACCTCACTTCTCATGTAACATTAAACCCGCAGGAATACACGTGAAGTTGTCAGCCCCAAACCCTGCTTGCAGCTGAGTCTGCCTGTAGGACAACAGAGTTTGTCTGGTTCCTCTACCAGCCCATTTTGAGTCCCCTGCCCTCCCACGTGGGAGTGGGGGAGTCTCACAGAGAACTGCCCTGGCTGGGACATGGGAGGGCTGGTGCAGGTTTGAAACCCATCCTCTTTTCTTCTTTACCTACCTGTGGGGCAGGGGACTAGGAAGGCACAGCTGTATTTAAAAATAAGGACAAAGGCCCAACCAAAGGACTAGGGTGCTTGTGGTGCCATGGGGATCAGGGAGGTGGTGAGGTGTGGACAGGGGAGACACTTCACACTGGAGCTGCTGGCTCCGTCTTGCTTTGCTTCATCTGGAGAAAACACCTCTCCAGATGGAAAGGCTACAGCATGCTGGGAATAATCAGATCATGCTAATTGTAATATATCAACCCAGATGTAGCAAACTAAGGCTGGTTTTGTCTCTTAAAAAAAAGCACAGTCTCTGCATTTCCATCCATTTGTTCTTCAGCCAAAACTGCAACAGAAGACTGAGGCTCTATACAAAAGAACAGGCAATTACTGTAACCAGACCAGAGATTATAAAAGGTTTCTTATTGTCTGATACTGTATCAATATGTAGCAATAACTGTGATACTGCTATTTTTTGTATGTCTGTTTTTAAATGACACATAAGGTGCAGACACATTGCCAAATCCAGTGGTTTACTCATAAATATGCCACACACAGGCAGTCTGCAGTGGGCAGAAATGGTTTGGCCACTGACAGGGGGAAATGAATAGGTAATTTATCCCAGATCTGTTGTTCCTGGCTGCGATCGCCCAGTCAGTGTGCAGGACCTGGACAGAAAGATCGGTGTATGGGACCTGGCATCCCCTCCAGCCAGGCTGGGCGTCTTTGGGAAGGCAGTGCCTGGCTGCTGGAGGCGCCAGTGCCCTCCCTGCTCTGTCTGCACAGCTTGGTGCCTGGGGACCTCCAAGGCAGTGGTTGCAGCAGAGCTGGGTGCTGCCAAGCTTCTGAAGGACCCACCCTGCTGTGTGGTCTCGTGGGGATTTTGAAAGGGAGTACATTGTAGCGTGATCACTCTGGCCTTCCCAAGCTGAGCTGGCAGCTGCCCGTGGCTTCAGAAGGAGCTGGAGGCGCTTGGCTCCAGGTGAGACCTGGCCTGTTCCTGCGTGACCAGACAAGCAGCTCATCCCTGTGGTCGTGAGGTTTCCCAGCTGTGAACCAAATCAGCTCTCCCTGCCACCAGTGCATACACTGCCTGCCTTGCACAGGCCCTGGCAAGGACACCTCCTCTGACCTATGAAATTCAGGTGAATCTTTGTATATTGTTTACTTGTTTAAAAAAAAAAAAAGAAAAAAGAAGAAAAATAATAAGTTAAATTTAAGCCTGTAGAAATTAATTTACAACTGAAGGCAGAGAAGCCTGAGTTGTAATAGAAGGAATTTTGTGAGATGTGGTGATTTTTTTTATGTCATGTACAATAATGTAAAACCAATGTTACCATTTAATATAGCTTTTAAATCACTGAAAGAGCACTTGCTTTAAAGTGTTTCTTACAAATGAAGAAAAAAGCTTCCTTTGTTTCTTAATAAATACGGTGTGACTTAAGTTTTGTTTGCTTTGTCATAGGCTCTTTTTTTCTTCAGTTAGTTAATAATTTACTTTCTTCTGTCTACAAAAGCACATCTGACCAACCCACTCCTCCAGACTCTGGCAAAAAGCAAAGTTTCAATTTTTTGCTGTATTTTTAAAGAGTAACAGTAAACCCATCCACTTACTTACATGGCTGAACACGGTGCTGCAGTGGGACATATGTGAGGGTGGGTGTTTGTAGAGAAGGGGAGCAGGGAGATGGCAGCTGAGCATCAGGTGAGATGGGGACCCCTCATGTCTCAGTGGCTACAGGGTGGCTGAGGAACAGCAGCAGGAGCAGGATGGGCCAGAGCCCATGGCCCCATCAGGTTCCCCATTTCTAAATAATACCAAATGCAGCAAATAGCATTTTCTGAGGATTTTGGTTTCAGTAGGACTCACAGTTACCAGCTGAGCATTTTGAGTGTACAACTCAGTAAGAGACCCTGCTGCTCCCCTCACCCCCTGCATGGGGACCCTTCTTGCTTGAGCAAACTCCATCCTCGTAAGTGAGACCAAAACCAAACCCCTGTTGTGCCAGGAGACATAATGCAAGCCTGGGACAAGGTCACTCTGCTTTCCTGGTGTTTGCTCCCTCCTGCTGCTGGTGATGCTGGCACTGCACTGTGTAGGCAGGTAGATGGCTGGGAGCCAACAGGGCATGGATAGGAAATTGGATCTTTCTTATTTGAGTCATAAACATGCAGATCCAACAAAGACCAGTCTGGGAGAAAAGTAGCCTTAGTCAGGCTGTACACAGCACGTCCTAAAATGCCACCGCTTCCTAGCGTCTGGGGGAAGCGAGAGAGCAAGGTTGGAAGCTGAAAGCTGTCAGGGAAGGAGGGGGTCAGCCGTGGCTTGGAGTAGATGTGCTGAGGCAGCAAGCACGGTGCAGCAGGAGAGGCCAACAGTTTGTGTCAAAGGTTTTTCTTGTATTTTTATGTGGGGGTTTTTATCTCCTTGGCAGTTTTTTTTCCATGGTCGAGAGAGGTGGGTTTTTCCTACTCCATGTGGTGACTATGGATGGTATGGGGAGAGATGGTGTGGAAACTTGCTGATGAACTCTGCATCTTTCCAAACCACCACTTGTGCTTGCTCATTTATTTACTTTTTATAGGCTACAGTGCGAGGTGAGACCAAGGTCTATTGGGTTGCAACTCAGAGGGAATAGTCCACATGTAATACAGGAACTGGAAAACCCTCATGCAGTGCTGCCGTGTAGCACTGGGACATGGCAGTCCAGGGCTGGGCTCAGCCCAGGGACCAGGATGGGCACAGCAGCTCTTAGCTCCTACCAAGGAATATGCAGCTGCTGTGCAGGAGAGACAGACTCCCTCTTTTCTTTAAAACACAAGAGCCTAAAATGTGAGGATTAAAAAATTCTAAGCCTGCTACATGGCCCATAAATACATTTTTGGCCTTATATTGCTATAAGAAGGGATGGAAACGCTCCTGACATCACCCATCTTGCAACCCTAGCTGAGTGCTCTTCACACCAAGTCACACAGCTTGGTGAGGGATGATGCATGGCTCAGGAAACTCACGCCAAGAAGGTGTACACCTCTTTCCTTGCTCAATTTCACCCAGTTAGTCCTATCTTCCCAGACTGCCCCAAACATTCCTCTTTTTTTCCTGCTGCTTACACCCCTTAAATTTATGTTCTTGCTCACTTGCAGTTTAAAGTGTGTGGTGCCCCATTTCTGTCCCCTGTTTCTGAATAGGCTGCTACCTATTTCAGGCACTGAAGTGCTCAGTCACGTGTTGTGCCAGAGGTGGTGTGCAGGGTGAGCAGTAGTGATGGTGGGCAGAAGCCAACAAATCCCACACAGGCTGGGCTGGCGCTGGTTTGCCCAGAGCGCACACCTGCATGCTGATGGTGTCCTCACAGGGGGAACTGTGCCCCTGAGGTGGCCGTAGGCAATCCCATGGGGCTTGGCCAGTGCTGATCACGGTGCCCATAATACCGAGCCATGCAGGGAACAGCAGGAAATCATCACCGGAGACGTGACCCCCTCACAACACACATGTGGAGAACCACTTCAAAATGTCTTACCTGTTAGCTGGGCACGGTCAGAGGGCAAAGCCCATTAGCAGGGGGTTTTCATGCCCCGTACAGCTGTTACCAGCCATCATCAAGGTTATTAGGGGAAAGTGGAGAGAGTGGTGCAATTAGAAGCCATTGCTTACTTGTGGGGCTTAATGCCCACAGGAGAGTAAGCTAGGATACAGGTCTGAGCTCAGCACACCGACCTCAGCACCTCCCTTTCAAACTATCTCATTTGCTGTTCACTTTTGGTCTTGCAGGAACTCTTCTTCTCCCTCCAGATTTTCTGTTTTTCCACTCTTTTCCTCCCACTGAAGTTATTACTAAATATTATTCCCCACCTGTATTCCCTTGTATTTTTCCAAGCTGAATCTCATTTTATTGTTTCCTCCTCATATTTCCTGCTTCTCTGTAGGTCTCTTTGTAATATTTCTCTGTCCTCAGAGGGGCTTGCAACATTTTCCTGTCCAGGATCCCTTGCAAATGGACTGAACTAATCACATAAGCTTGTGCCATCCTTTGTCCCCTTCCCCATCTACACTGAATGGAGCTGGTTCCATGAGATGCTGGCTCACAATGTCTCCTGTAGCAGAACATTTAATCCCTGTGACAGTATTTCTGTGCAACCTGAACAGACAGGTAACACCAGCCCTTGGTGCTGTAACACTCCTGTGCCCCAGCAGTGGGGATATACCCATCATGCTGGACCACCTGGCATAAAATACCTGTGCGGGCTTCACCAGTGGGAAGTCCTCATGTGAGCCAGCATTTCAGTGTGGCACCAGCCAAACACCAAATACTGTTGGCCCACCTGCAGCAAGCCCTGGAGGTGAGGCTGGCATGGGTGATGTCTTGCCTCAGAACCTTAGGGTGTGCCAGTGCCGCCATCTCCTGGGGGCGACCTGACCTGAGACACGGCTCCCCCCCACCCCGGGAAGCCACTACAGTCCTGGCACAGGGCTGGCTTTTCTCTCTCTGCTGCAGAAATCTCCCTTCTTGTGCTGACACTTTACTGGTCTTGAGATTTGCTGACAAAAATTGTCCTAATTGCTTGGCTTCATCTGTACTTTGCATTTGGAAAATCTCAGCACAGTGACCTGACCCCAGGTCTTTTTCACCTGGCTTGTGACATTGCACCTCTCACCTTCTCCAGCTTCTCCATGCTGGCTTGTTTACAGTGCTTTCCTTGGCCCTCGTGTCATGTCCATCTCCTGCTTGCCCCCATGCCTGCCCTGTGCCCTGCAGGGAGCCGGGCACTCCACTGTGGTGACTGTTGAGCCAGATCTCTTGTGAGGGCAGCTGTTTAGTGGGCAGGTGTTTTCCTAACCAAGGTGACGTCTTCCAAATACTAAGAAAAAGGCAGCAAACATTCCACTAGGCATGGCTGAGAAGTTGCTAGGTGTGTCAGAGGCCGACTATCCTCTTACTCCCCGATTTTCATTAGAAGAGGGGAGAGAAACCTCTCTGGAGTGTAACATGAGTCACAGCTCTCAGATTGCAAGTGCCTCCAGCATTGTACTGGCCACTAGCTTTGTCGAAAGAAAGGTAGTTGACTTTTTAAAATGTTAATCAGTTTTAGTGGTTATTTCTGATGAGATGAAACCAGGCAGGTAACAACTCAATCAATCACCTTTTGAACTGGGCAAGGCCCCGTGGGTACATGCAGCTCACCGAGGGCACATGTTGTCTTCTGTTGGCATTGTTGACAGCACATCAGGAAATATAAAAAAAACCCCTCACCTTAAACCTTGTGTCTGCCACCACAGGCTGTTTTCACACATTTTGTAGGTTTATAATAACAAAACCAGATTTCAAATATTCAAGGAAGAATAGCAATAACATCCTTTCTCCTAAATATGATAATCCTTCACTTTCAGGTAAGCAGTCCCTTATTGGCTGTTATCAGTCCTTCAGAAAACCTCCAGCAAAATCAAGGCAAACAGTGATACATCAAGCTGAAAAATGTTGTTTAATTCAAAAGATAAGTTGTTTTCCATCAGGCCTTCCTCATGTTTAATGTTGAACCAGCTCAGGGCACAGCCCACCCTGGTTTGTCTTTGTAGGTTAACTTGAAAACAAAAAAGTAAAATGCACTACTTCAGAGCCTATCAATGCTATTAAGCGAGGGCAAGCGAACACCATGTCAGACAGCAGTGAAGTTACTTACCTATCTCCCTTCCAAGATACTGAGCAGCTTCACAGAATCATAAAAAAATGGGTTGGGTTAGAGGGAATCTTAAAGATCCTTTACTTCCAACTCCCTGCTATGGGGAGGGACATCTTTCACTAGACCTCACTAGACATTGCTCAGAAGGCCATCGAGCCTGGTCTTGAACAATTCCACAGACGGGGTAAACAGCTTTCCTTCAATCAGGTTTAGAAAGAGCTTTGAAATCTGACAGGGACAAGCTGGCAGAGTGTTTGATGCTGCTGGGTGCAGAGCTGAGCTTAGCTAGGCCACGGACTTCCTGCAGCTCGATGATGCTGCGTTCACTCGCACCAGTTACACGACAAGATAAGGATGTCAGTGTGTTGTGCAGTCTCTGCTATGATTTATTACAGAAATGGTAAATACTGGCTTATGCAGCTGCTAATTCCCTCAATACTTGCTTTTGAGAGACAGAATCCTATTGACTTCACACATCAGTCAGTCTACGCGTGACTGTAAAAGTCTCATTACGCGGGGAAAAAACGATTCTCAGTTTACATGAGTGCAAACCAAAAGCAACTGCTGTTGACTTACTGCGCAGTCAGTCAGAATCAGGATCTCAGTTTAAAAGCTGAAGTGCTGCCTTCGCTATGTAGGGATAAATACAGTCATTATACAGGATTTAATTAACATGTATGGTAATGGTAGGCAGCTCAAGCTCTGATACCAGGCATATTCAAATGAGCTGACACTAAGATCACACTAAATTTTTTCAGAC